GCCTACACCATGGGTTAATAGCCTGGTGATCACAGAAAAAAAAGACAGAAAAAAGTTACGGGTTTGCTTGGATCCCAGTGACTTAAACAAAGCTATACTCAGGCAGCACTACTCCATTCCAACGGCCGATGAAGTTCTGTGCAAACTAGCTGGTAAGAAACTTTTCACAGTGCTGGATGAAAAAGATGGATATTGGTAAATAAAGCTAGATAAAGAGTCATCCCTACTGTGCACATTTAACACACCTTGGGGGAGATACCGCTTTAAACGTCTTCCATTTGGGATCAAGTCAGCAAGTGAGGTTTTCCAGCAACGCAACTGTGAGACATTTGGAGATATCCAAGGGATCCACATCATTGCAGATGACATGATAATTGCTGCATTGTCAGAGAAAGAACACGATGAGATATTACAGAAAGTGATAGCCAGAGCAAAGGAGGCTAATGTAAAGTTCAACAAAGACAAGATACAGTACAAGGTGAGCAGTGTCAACTACATGGGCCATACTGTCACTTCAGAGGGTGTTAAAGCAGACAACGCTAAGATCAAGGCTATCACAGGCATGCCAACACCAACTGACAAAACAGGACTACAGCGATTGCTGGGCATGGTAAAATACCTAGCTCAGTACATCCCAGGTGAGGCCACCATATCAGCACCACTGAGACAGTTGTTGAGAAAAGACAGTGTGTGGCTGTGGCAGCACGAACATGATGAAGCAGTCAAAAAACTGAAAGACGTACTCATTACAGCTCCTATACTCAGTTATTTCGACCCAAAGAAACAGCTCATCATACAGGCAGATGCATCCAAAGATGGTTTGGGGGCATGTCTAATGCACGAGGGCCACCCAATTGCCTATGCATCAAGAGCACTAACACAAACAGAATGCTCAAATAGAAAAGGAACTGTTAGCAATTGTCTTCTCTGTTAAGAGGTTCCATCAGTACGTGTACGGATTGAAAGTGGATGTGCAGTCAGACCACAAACCTCTGGAAAGCATTCTGAGAAAGCCGCTTGGAGCAGCTCCTTCCAGACTCCAACGGATGCTCCTCCAGCTGCAGCGATATGACTTGAATGTCATCTACACACCAGGTAAAGACCTACTGATTGCAGACACACTCTCACGAGCTGTCACACATGATGAACAGTCAACAGTTGATGACATCACAGATGAGAAAGTTGTCTATGCTCTGGAGCCAACAGACGCTTTGAGCACTGAGATGCTGCAAAAGCTCAAAAGTGGAACAGCTAATGATGAAATACTACAGCTGCTGCAGGAAACACACAGACAGGGCTGGCCACGACACAGAAAACAAGTACACACTAAAGTGGTTCAATACTGGCCTATCAGACATACTCTGTCAGTAATAGATGAGATAATGTTTGCAGGTGACAGAATAATCCTCCCGAGCTCGATGAGAAGTGACATGCTGCAAACATTACATGTGGCTCATCAAGGAATGCAGCGGACAAAAGCACTTGCCAGAAGGCACTGGTACTGGCCAGGTATGTCAAGAGAGATAGAACAAATGGTCGAGAATTGTGGGACATGTCAGCAGTTCCAGCCCAGAAACCAGAGGGAGCCTCTGATCTCACACGACATTCCTGAGCTTCCTTGGCTCAAAATAGGGGCTGACATCTTTGAAATAAAAGGACAATCATTCCTATTGATGGTCGACTACCTGTCAAAATATCCTGAGGTGCTTAACATTAACGACAAGACTTCACACACTGTCATTAAGAAAATGAAATCAGTCTTCTCCAGGATAGGAATACCAAAAGAGATAGTGTGTGACCATGTCCCATTCGCCAGTCAAGAAATGAGGAACTTTGCAGAATCATGGGGCATAAAACTCACTCATTCCAGCCCAGGCTATGCACAGTCCAATGGTCTGGCTGAAAGGACCATACAAACTGTTAAACATGTTCTTAAAAAAGCACAACTAACGAACACAGACCCTCATCTTGCCCTGCTCATCCTGAGAAACACACCTGTAACAGGCATGCAATACTCACCCGCACAAATGCTCATGGGGAGAGTGCTAAGGAGCACCTTACCGAGCTCCACCAGGGTGCTTCAGCCTGCTGTGCCTAAGGATGTTCACTCGACTCTCGAGAATCTACAGAGGAGGCAGCAGCAGTATTATGACAGAGGAACGAGGCCGATTCCTGAGCTGCAACCAGGAAGTACTGTTCACATGGAAACTGAACAGGGTTGGCGTCCAGCTTTGGTCACTGCACAGAGAGATGAGCCACGTTCCTATGATGTCGTCACATCTTCAGGTCAGCACTACAGGTGCAACAAGAGAAATCTGAGGAAAACACCACACGACGCCCAAATGGACCCAGAACCTGACTTACCTGAAGACAATCAACTATGCACGCCAGATGCAGACACATCAGAGACTGTTGAATGTGAAATGTCATCACCGCAGAGCACAAGAAGAACCAGATGTGGCCGACTTATTCGACCACCTGAGAGATACAAAGATTTCCTAATTAGCTCAGGCTAAAGGTTGTGCTAAGACAGAGTTAACACGTTAAAATCCTTACTCTATTTGCTAAAAAAAAAAGAGAGAAGAGTAAGGTTGTGTGTGTTGTTTATATACAGGATGTTGGAGTGATATACACTGATTCTAAGTTGACATGTTAATGTTCCAAAACAGTAAATGTATATATAGAGATATCCTTCCCTCATACAAAATATAATTTCATATATTCTTATGTTAACAAGTGAACACTGTTAATATTGAGACCGTTATAGAATGTTTACTACAGCAAATGTTATATGCAACTTTCATTGTAAGAAAGGAGGATGTAGTATATAGTGCCGCGCACATATACTATCAGGACGTTAATGATGTGGTGCGGCCGCGGAGTGAGAGGGTGTATGCAAGCCCGCATCTTGGACGCATGTATGTATCATGGCGGAAGATCTGTTAAGTAAATAAAGATGCCTCATACAAAGGTCTACGGATACCGTATTACTCTCCATGACCTGCGGTCAACTATATAGCATAAAGGACTGTCATGAGTCATGAGGCACTATTTTTGGATACCTTTTTTTATTTTCACCCCTTTTGCCTGGTTCTCACAAAAGTTAAGTCTGACAAATGTGCCTCTGGAGGAATGCAAGGGGAGTTGACAGGGGACTCTGGCGGGCTCATGAGGCACTATTTTCGGACCCTTTCTTTGCTTTACCCCGGTTCTATTACTTTCTCCTCCTTTGACCATAAAACACGTTGAGTATGGATGAGTATCATGAATTGATGCCTCGGATATGATTCTGTCGGCCTGGTTCTTCGGGGCACTCATTGAAAGCTATGCATGAGAGGTGCCCGCGATGGGGGGGGTGCAATGGGCAGATTCAGCAGTTTCTAACAAGACTTTACCGCTGATCAGAGCCCTGTTCTCTGGGTAAGACAGCGAGGTGCTGCACCCTGGGTGTCTGGGTGTCTGGGTGTCTGTGAGTCTCAGACCCTGCTAACAGCAGTGACTCTGCTGCCTGCATTTAAACAGATTCAGCAGTTTCTAACAAGACTTTAGCCCTGATCAGAGCCCTGTTCTCTGGGTAAGACAGCGAGGTGCTGCACCCTGGGTGTCTGGGTGTCTGGGTGTCTGTGAGTCTCAGACCCTGCTAACAGCAGTGACTCTGCTGCCTGCATTTAAACAGATTCAGCAGTTTCTAACAAGACGTTAGCCCTGATCAGAGCCCTGTTCTCTGGGTAAGACAGCGAGGTGCTGCACCCTGGGTGTCTGGGTGTCCTGGGTGTCTGTGAGTCTCAGACCCTGCTAACAGCAGTGACTCTGCTGCCTGCATTTAAACAGATTCAGCAGTTTCTAACAAGACTTTAGCCCTGATCAGAGCCCTGTTCTCTGGGTAAGACAGCGAGGTGCTGCACCCTGGGTGTCTGGGTGTCTGGGTGTCTGTGAGTCTCAGACCCTGCTAACAGCAGTGACTCTGCTGCCTGCATTTAAACAGATTCAGCAGTTTCTAACCAGACTTTAGCCCTGATCAGAGCCCTGTTCTCTGGGTAAGACAGCAAGGTGATGTGCCCTGGGTCTCTGGGTCTCTGGGTGTCTGGGTGTCTGTGCGTCTCAGACCCTGCTAACAGCAGTGACTCTGCTGCCTGCATTTAAACAGATTCAGCAGTTTCTGGGTAAACACTCTATTTTACCCCACTGTATGCTTCCCAGGGGCACCAACATTGATGCTTTCCATCACCGGTGAGGCGCTGTCCCCGGTGCTGCTTTCCCATCAGCACCGCTGTCTACCGGTGCTAAAAGTGTTAAAGTGCTCGCACCTCCATGCGCAACGTGAGTCCCCGGGCCCCCTGACTTAAGCACACTGCCTTGGACAAAACCCCCATGTGCATAACTGCCAGACAAGCGTGCCCCTGGTAAGCTAAATCTATGAAAAGTGTCTGAGTGTCTGGGGGTCAGGAGTCCGCAGTTGGATGCTTAAGGGCGGACGGTAGACCACATTTCCTGCCCTCTGCTTGCTTAAATGCTTAAAATAAATGTTGTACTTTTTTTTTTTTGTTAATGATATGTACATTATGGCACCATCTGGTGGAACATTTGTGAATTACACTAAAATCCAAAACTTTAATGTTTTTTATCTTAGCGAAATAATGGTTTAATGACCCCAATGTAATGATCAGTTATGATGAATGAGTGAATTAGAAAACTCGGTTAGTAAGGTTTTTTTTTGTCAATATGAGATGCACTGTTTGTATGTCCCATGTACATGTCTGTACATATGGCCACACACACTACTAAGGTAGGGTAAGAAAGCTTTCAGATGTCTTTTATAATATTTGTCTGTATTTTACAAAATAAAAAACTTGCCTTCAGAACCATTGCTTTCACTGGTCTTAAATAATTGATAGAAAAAAATCTGTTATTTTCTTATGAGATAAGACAAGCACATTCACAGAAGGTGTACAAGTCCCGTGTAAAAGCAAAAGTCAAGGCAGACTTTTGTTGCAATGTTTTATTTTGGATGCTTTGTGTACACATTACATCATATTTGCAAATCCATTACATTGAATGCTAATCCAGTGCAGAGCCAAACACCTCCACCTCACAGAGGGTCAGGAACTCCTCTCTTCCAGGGATACCTATGTAAACATAGCGGCCGTCCATCCCGTTGGAAACCTGGAACTCAACAGTTTCACCTGCCGGGATTCTGGTGATTACAGCAAACCTGGTAGAAGAAGCAGAAATCAGTACGTTAACCTCAGGAAGGGTTTATTGAAGTAATAGGCTTTTCATTTGAACTTCAACATGCACTCAAAGCGTCATTAGGTTTCTACGCTTTACTTGGTTAGAATGTTGGTTGCAGATCTTTTAATTAGGGCTTGATAATGAGCAATATTTATATTTCAGTAATGTTTAAATAAATGTTTTCAAATCATGTCACAGAATCACAATTGACGACCCTCGATCAGGCCTTTAATTTGGCAACCTTGGTATTTGTCCATTTCTGTGATCAGATCAGAACACATTGCAGGAATCATTCATAAATGAAGGGTATTCCCGCTCCAAACCTATTTCTTGGCAATGTAAGGATTTTTAATCCAAAATGTAGCACCAGGGTAAACTTGAGAGAAAAACTGAATAATTGTTCCTCAAACGTGTTCCAACTAAATACAAATTTAGTGACTTTTTAATATTAGTATTGTTATAGGACAGGCTGTAAGTTACCTGGGATTGTCAGCACCATTGTTTACAAGAGAATCTCCAATGCGGATCTCGGCTCCATTGAGTCGTTCGTGGTATTCATTTCGGTTGGTTATCTTAACAGAAAACACTTTGTGTGTTTTGGGCAGAGTCAGCCTCCACCAGGGGTTAAAATCAGTGTCTGTGACACTGCAGGAACCGTCAGCCGTGGAGGACGACATGGAGTCCCGATTCCCATCAATGGCCTTATATGCATCGAAAGCCTGATACACTGATGACTGTGCGGCTTTTCCTTGAATGGCCAGGTTCTCTTCTGCAACAAAAAAACAAAAGAAAGATTTATGTTAAATCAATAACATGTATGACTCCTGATGCAGATTGTTTTTCATTATTCTGTTTCACCATGACTCTCAAAAGATTTAATTTAATTTGCCGTCAGGATGAAGGACATAAAAGGGATAACCCCACCATATATAAACAAATAACTACCATATAGTTATTTGTTATTGGAAAAGAGGAATTAAAGTAATATTGTGCTGTAGTCTATAATATATTGTGTCTATAGTTAAAGTTATATATAACTACAACTGCACTAAGTTTAACTAAATGTGTCATTCAGTTTTGGCAAATTAAACTTTAAATAAAATAAGACCTGTTTTAGAAATCATAAGTGACATGAAAGGCTGGCACATCCTTTCTCTTTTTCCTATTACTGGGACCATATTTTACAACTTGAACATCATGCTGGATTGAAGAAGACTTGAAACAAAGAATTGAGATCATAAACTAATGGGTACACTCTTTCCAGCGGTAATACATCAAGTGAGTAGCAGGAACAATTTTCACATCACACATTATTTATGTAAGATCCCAAACCCTCACCAGTTGGGGAACGGTACCCGTAGACTTCCACTTCGCAGAGTGTAAGGATCCTTTTTAAACCCGGTAGAACCACAGTCACAAAACGTCCCTCCACAAGTCCGGTAAAAGTGATTTTTAAAGACCTGCCAACTGGGATGTGAGGAATTACAGCAGCCCTAAAGAAGAGAAAGAGGAAGCATCGGAGAACATTATTTTAAAACTGCAGTACTTCAAAAGTATAAACGTATAAAAGAAGAAATTACACATAACCTGCCAGAAGAAGGCAGTATTTCACATAACAAACGTCACATGTTTATTTATACGTCTTTGGTGATTATATAGTCCTCTACTATATAAACTATGAAGTCTTTAAGATCACTCACACTGGGTTTGCGGCACCATTGTCTTGCAAAGAGTTGCCGATGTGAATCTCTGCCCCGTTGAGCCTTTTTGGACAGCAGTCTCCTCTGTTGGTGATGATGATGGAGGTGACGATGTAGGACTCCAGCAGGTCCACTCTCCACCAGGGGTTGGTCATCTCAACAGTGAGGGTGCACGATCCAGCAAAGTAGTTGGACTCACGGTTTCCATCAATAGCATTGTAGGCAGCCCCATAGTTATCCCCATGACGGTCTGACTGGGTGGCTTTTCCACGCAAGGCAACATTTTCTGTGAATGAGATAGTTGAAATACACATTAAATGTATATTTGGAAATGTTAGTAAATTAGAAAACCACTTAACCCTTCTTATCTATAGAATTACAGACCGGTTTCTCTTCTTCCATGTCTTTCTGAAACACTTACAGGGTAACTTCTTTGTCTCTACCTTACTATGGGGTCCTCATGGTTCGGTTCTGGGTCCCCTGGTCTTTCATGCTTACAAAGTCCTACTATTTACTTACAAGGCTTTTTCTACCACAGCTATGCAGATGACAGTCAACTAATTATTTATTTTGTTACACTTGCCCACACAGTGCCTCAAACCCACATGTTCAGGTCCTCTGTCTCTAAACGGCAGCATTTCAGGCTGATGTCTCATTTTGTGAATATGCAAACCTTTTCCTCAGTTTGCTTTTCCAAATTTTCCAAATTGGCAAAATTATTGTTTTTCCCAAAATACGCATTTAAATAGCCTAATCAAGAGACTAAATACAAACCCCTTGCCCGTTGAACTTTACTTTGTGCCCAGTTTTAGGCAGTTAAACAAAACATTTGTAAAAGTAGGACACACTCAAAATGCACTTAAGACTATGTACTTTAGACCTCTAAAATAGAGCCCTTATCTCTCATTGTTCTTTTATGTAGTACTTGAAGCAGTTTCGGCCAGATCACGGGGGGATTTTAATGTTTTATAACAAAGATATTACATGTAAAGATAGATCCTACTTACGATAGGTGTAAGCTGAGCTCGTCCCCAGCAGGAGAAGCAGAACTGAAATGTGTGTCATTGCTATGATGGTGACAAACATAAAAGTTAATTACATGACTCAATATCAATACATGAGTGAATCCTTAAATGTCAGTGCAGAGTAAGTTCACAAATATGAAACAACCCTTCAAACTATATATCTAAAAGCATCAGTATTCAGCAACCACATACCTTGACTTTATGCAGAAGAAGACGAGGAGTTGCTCTTTATGTTGTGTTGATGAATGTGATTCGAATAGGACATCACAGGGATATTTATGTGCACATCTTATCGTGACACATGCTGTCGTTTATTGAGGCTTGACCATTTATGGCTTCTTTTTGTCCTTGTATGTAGATAAGGCTTATTATGTGTATCAAGCATATTTGTATATTTGTATTCGGGATTGTTGGAAACATTTCTTTGATCTCTCTGTCTGTACACACAAACTGAAAGATTGACATTAAAGTTGACTTTGACTTTGTTTATGATTTGTTTTGCTTTTATAAGCTACGCCTTATTTATAAGACATGGCGCAACAGTTTTGCTATGTTCACTTGATGTTTATTGTCAATTCCACAAAAATATGGTCGTACTTCCTGGTCAGATAAAAATGAAACACCAGAGTTAGAAAATATTGATGTTGTTGGTTTGCTGCCAGGTGGATCTCATTGGGCCTAACTTCCCGGCTTGATAAGGTAATGAGTGTACTTGGCATTCTCAGGATGGTTATATTGCTGCTGAAAAGGCATAACAAAACGATTATGTTTGAAACCACATGAGGACAAAGGAAGAATAGGTCAATAAATATACAAAGGAAAACTAGAGAAGCACTGAAAGTTTGATGGATTGCTGTCAACAATGATTTACATGAATATTATGAAAACCGATTGACCTTGATTGATTGTTTGTGAGGATTTTGATATTATGCGATTGTGATCCCCTTTAATCATAATAAGATAAAGATAATAAATCTAATGGACTTCTGCACACTCTGATCGACATAAATGAATAATTATATGAAATATGATTTACCTTAAAGGTAGGGTAGGTAAGTTTGAGAAACCGGCTCGATATCGCTAGAATTTGAAAATACACAACCGGAGAAAATCTGCCACTTCCTTATAGAGCCCCTCCTCCAACACACACAAACGCACACATGACCAATGAGGGCACGAGATAAGTTTGTGCACAGATGGAAGGCTGACAGGCAGGTAGGCCATCCAGTTATTTTAGCCGGGCCGGCTAAAATGATTGGTCGTGCTTTTTACAGTACTACGGCTTCCACAGATGACATTTTTTTATGGATTTTTTGTCAAAGCACTTAAGATATTCATTGCTATCGGGATGTTAAGAGCATTCCATGGAATATAACAAAAAGTGTATCTCGAGCCGGTTTCTCAAACTTACCTACCCTACCTTTAATGTGTTGGCCAAATTAACACAATATGTTGAGGTGAGATGAAACTGCAGAAAACAACGGATGGGTCTAGTAAAGTTGTGGAAATACATTTTGACACTTGAAGGATGCACCACCAGCTAGCATCAGCAAATGTTTAAATTATTTTTGTACGTATAGAAGGATACAATGCAACATAAAATTAACTGGAATGGTTCATCACAAAGTTGTTATTTCTGCAGCTATACACAGAATTTATTTCAAAAATTAACATTTGAAATAAATGTGTCTTCTTATGACTTGCCAATTTATAGCGTATATGAATATTTCTAAAGATATTAACAGGCCGGTGAGTCTGACTGTATTTTATGTTGGAGTTAATACACATGTAGCTTTAATAAATGTGTCTTTGCAGAGGAAAAATCCATTAGGAACAGGAAATGCATGCAATTAGCCGTTTGTTCATTTGAATGAATGCAGTTAAAATCTGTGTTGACCACGGCTTGTCAGGACCTCGACACAAACTGATGAACCCAAATGCACGACCCAGAGACAAAGTCTTGAATGTAATCAAATGTATTTATTAATTCCAATGATCAGGAAATCCCTCTTAACAGAGTAGGTGCTGGAATAAACAAAAAGCTCTCACAAGGAGGAAAAAAACTAGGCATAACAAAAGGAGAACTTAAGAAAAAACTGAAGCCTACAAAAATCAACAAAATAAAATAACCTGACATGAGAGAAAAGCGATCCTTTCTGAGCTGAGGCTTGGCATGACCATTCGGGGAAACAAACAAGACGAACTGACACAGGACAGGGGAGAGACAGGACAATTTAAACATGAGGTGAGTGGGAACAGGTGGAAACAATCAGGGGCGGGGCAGACACTGATGATGGTGGGAAAAACACACAAGGGGAGGAAGAAACAGGACCTGAAATGAGAGACAAGAGGTAAATACAAAATAAAACAGGAAATGACAGACAAAATACATAAACATAACTAGCACATTTGACGAGAAACTACACGGCTGTATTGAGATGAATATTTAACTCATAAGTTGAAACTTTGTGTAAATTGGTTGCAAGGAAATGTGTCATCATCACAAGCTAGAATAACTTGTACTTTTTACGCATAAGATATAACTTTAATAAATGTGGTTGTTTTTTATTTATTTCTGCATACATGGAGCGTTAAACCTTTACCTATTGAAAATGTTACTCAAATCCTTTTTTTTATTCTGCAACACAGGGTTGCACAACCAAATGCAGTTATAGCCATTTATTCTACTTAAGAAAAACAAGACAAAAATAAATACAGTAGTTCAGTTTATGCATTTGCATCTGGAGAAATGTAAACTGCAGCAACAAAAACAATTAAGCTATGTCGAATATTTGTATATGCATGAAGTGTGTTATTTAAAAGACAACAACAAACAAAGCATCGTATTTCCGCCACATAATTTTATTTCTGCAACTTGTTGAGTACAAAAAAGGAAGATACATATTATACACAGATGCAATAAAAATATAAAAGCATTAAAACGTTTTTGATTGTCCACACTGATTACTGACATGACTCAGTGAAACTGAATGATCTTAATGAATTGTTACATGATTGAGTTGAATGTCCCCATTAGGGTCTGACTTGATTGCTTGATTGATGAATGAGACAGTTGAAATGCACGATAAAAAAGCAGAATGGAAAAACGTTATCCTGTTATTGTTCATGTTGATTGGCAGGTCACATTCCTTTCTGTGTTGGAGTGGCTCAGGTATACAAAGCTCGAACTCCCATCCATCTGCAGCTAGCAAGTGAAGCTTAAGCTATCATTGCAACACAAGTCTGTACAAGAGCCTCAGCTGTATCAAAGGTCATTGATACACGTTTTGAACCTATTCAGACCTAATCCAGCCTGGAGCCGTACACCTCCACTCCACAGAGAATCAGGTGCTCGTGTCTCCCAGGAATGACGACGTTGACGTAGCGACTGTCCATCCCGTTACACTCAAAGGTTTCCGTGAAACCTCCAAGGATGCTTGAGATCAAAGCACACCTAGCATAAGAAGACATGTGTTTGTTAACTCATTGAAAGATCATTTGAATGAATGAAAACTTTTACGGTACAAATAATTTCATAGAAATTAGTTACTTAAAGGTGGGGTAGGTAAGTTTGAGAAACCGGCTCGAAATAAACTTTTTGTTATATTCCATGGAATGCTCTTAACATCCCGATAGCAATGAATATCTTAAGTGCTTTGACAAAAAATCCATAAAAAAATGTCATCTGTGGAAGCCGTAGTACTGTAAAAAGCACGACCAATCATTTTAGCCGGCCCGGCTAAAATAACTGGATGACCTACCTGCCTGTCAGCCTTCCATTTGTGCACAAATTTATCTCGTGCCCTCATTGGTCATGTGCACGTTTGTGTGTGGTGGAGGAGGGGCTCTGTAAGGAAGTGGCAGATTTTCTCCGGCTGTGTATTTTCAAATTCTCCAAAATTACCTACCCTTTAAGTGTTGCCAAATCAATATATGGTTTTATTACATGGCTTAGTTGAATACTCGATTCTGATTGGTGCATGCAGTTTGCTTTTCAAACTGGTACAAGAAAACAGCGGAGAACGGGGCAGAAACCCTCCTTTTTACGCAACGTTCCAGACATAGACATCAGACGGCAAAACATATTCAGTTGCCAGTTACTTTGGCATTAGGGCAGGGATATCTAGATATTTCCAAGGTTTGACATAATGAATTGTGTTACTTTTAAAGCAAGCAACGATGTTTTCAAATCTGTAATCAAAAAGGTCCGCAAAAACGCTATCGAAGCAGTTCCTCCCGTTGCTACGTAGTTCAAACAGTAACAACGGACTATTTTTCTTTCTCATGTAATTTTAAATAAATAATAGCCTACTATTTTTTAAATCAATAAAAACATTTTCTAAATCTATAAAAGCATTTATATTGTTTGTTTGTAGCCTTTATTTAACCAGGTGAAAATCCCATTGAGATCAACGATCTCTTTTTCTATTAATATTGGGAGTCATATCGTTACTTTGTTGAGAATGTGGCATTGTAAAAAGCGGGATAATGTGCAGCGACTTGGTCATTATGGGTAAAAGAACACCCGACAGGCAGATCAGGAGCCCGCAAAAAGCGGAGGGATCTTGAACTCGCTGTACATTATCCCTTACGTATTATGCAGCAAACATTGGTTGTTCAAAACAAAACCAACAACAGATATTCATCAAACCCAAACTTTAAGCATTTAGCCTTTGTTGTTCATTCAAGTTAATGGAGTTGTTACTCTGGTGTGATGTCAGCTGTATAGAAAGATGAGGATAGATAGATGGATAGATGAGGATTTATCACCCCAAAATTAAAGTAGCAAAGGGGACCTATCATGCAAAATGCACTTTTTTATATCTTTTATATATAATTATGTGTCCCCGGCATGCCAGGGAACTCACAAAGTGTCAGAAAATAAAACCCTCTATCTTTTCCTCCGTGTGCAAAACTCTGAAAACGGGGCTACAACGAGCTGATCCAGATTTGCCATCCGATATGATGTTATTTACAACACAGTCTCACTCCCTGATCGTCCAATAGCGACGCTTGGTCAGGGTCCTTTGGCGGGCAGTTGTG